AAAAAAAAAAAAAGGAAAGACTGTCACGTTGTTTTGTTTTTTAAATATGAACAAATTTGGAATGACGCTGGGGACCTGGAACTAAAGAGGTAAGTGCAGTTGAAAGGTCTACGCAAAACTGCAAGTCTGCTCCTCGACGGGGTTTGGGTTCTAATCATAGCCGCCGACAATATAATGCTGTATGTGATGCAGTACTTGACTGGGCTTAAATTTCACATTGCTACTCTTTATCCAGGACTCCTGGAGTATTCATGGTTAGGCGGTACCAATAACACGGAAATAAGTGAATAAGGAACCGGAAACTCGTGAGCATGGTTTTGTTCGGAAAAAGGTCGTCATATATGTTCGTTAGTTGAACCGTAGATGTAATAGCAGAAATATGGGTTTTCTAGAATAAAAAAGGTGATTTAATAGGAAACCTGTGTTGGTGCGTTTTCGACTGTAATTTTTACTAATTATAGTTTACCTTTAGTTTCTTCTAACTCTACCAGCGACGTTTGGACAAGTTTCAACATTGGTTCCACTAAGTCCGGCCTGCGATGAAGTACTTTGAAGCCATTCCAGAGCAATATAAGTTCCTGAAGGGAGAGTCAGTTTAGGGGTTCTTTAATTCCCCAGGGGAAAAAAAAAACCTCGCGTATATATCATTTGTCTTACATATATCCTAATTCGCCTCCATTCCTCTCCCCTTGTCGTCTCGAAAGAAAAACGTAAGGAGCCTAGGAACGACATTGCTGCCGTTTGAGAATGGCTCATTCTTTGATAGTACAAGATTAGACCCAAAAAAATGTATTCGCTAACAACGTAATTATAAAAACATCCATGTGACGTACTGGCCAAGCTGACATTTCTCACGTGTACAAAAACAAAAAGTGTTGCACCAATTAGGCTAGAAATAGACTCGCTCCAATGATTTGCCTTATCATTAGATCTGTCCGCCTTACAATTCTAATCTAACCAACGGAGAAAAGAGATTTTGACCTACGATTCCCCTCGCACTTACCATTCCAGGAAGAAATAAATGGTTGCCTTGTTCCAGGTACTTGTTAGCTTTGTGAATGGAAAATTTCTCAAATGGAACAGACTTTCCAGCGATACGCTGCTTGTATTCCGGAAGTCGCCTGATACAAAGAAAACCAACTGGTGTCCAATCGTTTTCAAACCACATGTGAGCGGCGCGGAAGCGCAACGTATGATGGTTTAGGAGAGGGCAAAAGAGGGACATTTCTTCTATCTCCCATTCCAATAGCACAAACTTACGTTTTTAATTACAGTTGTATTACGCCTTTCAAGTTTTCCTTTGACACTTCAGCGTTCGCCTCAAAAAGAACGGGGAATTTACTCCCGTCTCGTCCAAAACTCAAGGGGCGTCTTGTTCAGGCTTCATGTTAAATAAAAGGGCGGGGATTTCACGGATACAGGTTGGCTCCGAGAGGTTAAACTTCGCGTGGAAACTTCCCCTTTGGATCTTTCAATGGCCTGTCTTTCTGGGCGCTCTTGGTTTCGACTGTTTTATCGGTAAAGCATTGCGGGCGCAATGCGAGAGCCTTCGTCCAGGGCGATAAATTTAAATAAAATGTAAATAACAAGTAACTGGGGTCGGAGTCACAGAGGCAATAACAGAAATAGTGATAGAAATAATCCACAAAAGTTTGCCGCTCTTTCTCCGCTCTCTTTTCCTTCATATTTACCTGAAAAGATACTCCTCAGTGTCCTTTTCACCCTGATCGTCTTCTCTCGCGAGCTCCAGATTTGTAATTCTCGCCATAACTCTGAAGCAAGCTTTAAGATACATGTAGGATGTCTGCCGAGGAGAGGGTTTGTTCAGGCTTTAGTTAAGGTCATGCAATGTAGCTGCAATTCTGTTCCAGCAGCATATGAAAGCGGAAGACTGAGTAACCGTGCTACCTTAGAGTCATTTGCCCCGACAAAGGACTAAAGCTCGCAACATCAGCATTATAAACTCTTTGCGACGAACGATTTACATCATAACTTGGTTGATAAATACAAATAATCCTGTATCAACTCAAACCGATTCTTTACAAACTTAGTCCCTTTATTCATTAACCGTGCATCTGTTCGGCAAATCTTCTAAACGTCGTGGAAAATGAGACTTAACAACTACATACGTTAATGCCATTGAGAAAAATGTGTAAGTTACTGAGGCCTCCATTCACTTTCTCTTTGATAACAATGGTGTTTTAGCTAAATTTCACACACGTTCACTCTTAATTTCCATTCGTCCTTACCCGTGACCAGCGGCTTTCCTTCAAAAGAACACTTGCATAGTGGTACGCTGTGGCCCAGTCCCCCTCATACCTAATGAGACAAAAAAAGAGGATTTTAGTTATAATTTTCCTACAACAAAAACAAAACTTTACCATGCGACAGCAGTTATGACAAGAGAGATGACTTAATCTATACTTTCCATTGGAGAATGGTTTGTGACTGAGACAAAGGGGACACAAATTAAACGACAACTGAACAGTCTTGTGTGAATGTAAACTTACGAATAACACCACATCAACTCCCAGTAACAGATATGATGGAACTGTTTCCATTCAGACTGAACTGCAATTGAGTCGTTGTAGCTTTTGGTGGCCTGTAACCAAAATTTAAAAAAAGACAAACAGCTTACAGTAAAATCACATAACGTCATGTCGCCGATGTCATGTCACGTCACGTTATGTACTATCATGTCGCATCATGTAACGCTATTCGTGACATGTCGAGTCACGCTGCACAGCACGTGATGTCATGTCACGTTACAAAACGTACTTTCAGGCCACATCGTGCAACGCTATTCATGACATATCGAGTCATGCCATCACATATCACCTGTATGTGGTAAGAGGGGGATGGGCAGAGAGAACTGAATCATTTTCCCACGCCCCTATCCTCCAGGAGCTTGGGTAGCTGTGATAGTCTATCACATCACAACAGTTAAACACGTTTCTTATTCTGAATGATGCATCCTTTATAAATGAGTCGATCTGGTTCGTTTGCATTATCACTGACCTCATCCAACTTTCCTTGAACTTGTTTTATACGACCAGCGTAGTACAAGAATATCGCTCCCTAAAATAATAAAAAGGTTTCGAAGAAAAATTTTAGACACACAGTTATCCCAGAGACTATATATACAAATAACCAACGGTCAATTTTGCCAAGTCCTTGTAGAAAAAAAAGGACGCAGCTAAGACAGCAAATTTGCGACACTGGGATGGTGAGCATCTTCTATCCTTTACACCCTTGTATCAGTATGCATATTCTCCACACCGTTCTCTTTACATCCCTAAGGTGCTGAAAAGGAGAATTTATTTAACAATCAAGAACTACTTCTAGTCGTTTCCCTTATTCTTGTGACCTTAAATGTTTGATCCAGGGGTGATATTGTGAGGAGAAATTTGCATCTTATTCCAGTGAAAGACTACGAGGTCACATTTTTAAATGTTTCAAAAAAAACAAATGAACTGTAAGTACAATTTATAGCTCATGCTATTGGAAACTTCTCTATTTGCTGCATTATTCCTGCAATACTTTCGCTTCTATCTCGTCAAATCTGACTGCAGCTCCTTGTCAATCCTTTATGCCATACGTTCGTGATATATGTACATCTCTTTTTCACTTCGAAGGCATCAAGAACGACGCACGGATTAGGAGGGCCTGGTTATACTAGTACGACAGTCTGTGCAGCCGATCAGATTGCGAGCCCGGGAATTACAGCATTAGTGCATGATTAGTGCAGTTCCTTGATTAAAATACCTTCGGAAATGCCTTCAGATGTGGCTGGAGAATTTCCTCGGCGTACATGACGTCTCCCTCGCCGTTTCCTGACGGAATAAATGACAATACTTCAATAAAAGCTTCAAATTAATAGAAAAAGCTGAAACTCAACAGAGTAGAACTCTTTGTCCCACGCTCGTGACAAGACAAAAACACATCTTTCTCCATTCCTCTAAAGAGCTCAAACCTTACCATCTTTTTATTCTAGTAGGACTCTTTGTTTCAAACACAGAATTTATATAACTTTTTTTTAAGGAAACAGGATTTTTTTTTCGATGACCGTAGGTAGAGGTATCCATTAATAAAGCTGACTGTATTTCGTTACAATATTGGCAGCCCCTCCTACCAAATGTGACTGTTACGAAAATATTTATTCGTATAGTATACTCTTGTAAATTTAATAACTAACAGCTCGAGCTTAAAGAGAGCAGCTTGTAGTCTAGTGTTATGTTTACAATCTTATCTTAATCATTTAACTTCCAGATCAAATTTGTAATTCTCCTTACTGTCAAAAATACAATTCGTATGATGGTAGCTCAGAGAATTTAGTATTGGATCAACTAATTATCCCCAAATTGATATATTTTTTATTCTCATCACTTATCTGGTTGATATTGCATTGATATTGTAAGGAGAAATT